ATTTTAAGATGCTTTGAAGTATTGTCTAGGCTGAAAATAAACTACCACAAAAGTGTAGTTTGTGGGGTGGGTGTAGCAGAGGATTCCTTCAATGATTTTGCTTAATTATTGAATTGCAAAGTGAAGAATCTGCCCCTACAATATCTGGGGTTACCTCTAGGGGCTAATCCAACCAGAAAAAGCCACTTGGAGACCTGTGTTGGAGAAGATTAGGAGCAAATTAGCTGGATGGAAAAGAAAGTTGACTTGTTTGATTATTCTGTAGCTTAAACTTTAATAGGTTTTCAAATGATGAGTGCATTATTATGGGACTCATGAAAAATCTTTTCCATTTTTTTTGCGGGTTTCTAACACAATCCAACTCTAGCCCACATGAATAGGTTAGTCTCTCTTAATCAATTCATATACATCATTGTATTTGTTTTCAATTCTCTCAAATTTTCTTTGTTTGTTGTTTTCATTAATTTGGAGGGATTGAATTTGTTTTTGATTTCACTCTGAGGACTTGATGCTGCAAATGATATCATATACCCCAAGTGTTTGTGTTTTTGCTTCTATATTTGTAATATGGTGTTTGTTGCTTTCATTGTTTTGCTGGAGTTCGTATCGTAGAATCGTATCAATTCATTTCTTGTCCTTCTAAGAATTAGTATATGATTTGTTGTTCAAGCTCTTCAGTGATTGAGTTTGTATCTCGATGGTAATTTTATTGATTTATAGGTCGCAGAAGGACTATTGGTAGTTGAAGTGAGGGTTTGAGTTATTAAATAGTGTGTCGACTTCTTTTGACATGTAATCCATACACATTCTCAGTTTTAATTTAGGGTTGATCATATATTTATATATGTATGTATGTGTATAAAGTATAAGCATATGTTTGTTTGGTGGCTTGGGGTGTTGTTTTAATGATATAACGTGTTATATTTGTAAATACAATCCTGCAGCTTTACTTCTCCGGATTTCTTAGCGTATCATTTTTTGCCTTTCTTGATGTCATTAGGGATGGATGCATCTCTTATCTATTATAGAAAAAGTATTTAGAACCACAATTGTATTCGTGAACCCGAAAGAATTCATATACTGTCCCACAGTGGAGGCCCCATCGTGCATATGTATGTCATGTAATCATATGTCAGTGAATAAGCATTCTCCCTCACATTCTTGTCAGTAGATGAACTTTTTTCTTCTCTTTCTTTTTTCATTTTTAAATTTTAAATTTTTGACAAATAGACTGCCTGATACTATCATAGCAAATGACAGTAGCAAGAGTTGTAATTAAAAGGCTGTGATTGGTGGGCTTTGTCTATAATTCTGTAATTTGGTCAAGTTCTGTTTCTTCATTTACTTTCTTGTTGGTCACTCAATTAATTTCTTAGCTTCTCTAAGACGTCTTCTTTCATTGTGGGTTGATGCAATTTTGCATAATTTCAATTACATCATTTGTATGATGCTTCAACTGAATTATTATGTTTGCGTTTTTATCAGTGAATTAAGTTATGAACTCTTCAACAACTCAATTTGCCACTTCAGGAATGACAGGTTTATGTGAGCCAATCCACCACCAGGTTAGCATGTGGGAGAACACATTTAATGGTGATTTTAGCCCGAACACAGGCATGTCTGCAATCGGACAGGTGGATGCAAGTGTAGGCAACAAGGTGATGATTCATGGATTTTTCTCCCTTAGTTTAATGAATTTTGATTGTTTATTCCTATGGCTATATTGTAACTAATTTTCTTGATTTGATTCTCTAGTCTGAATATACTTCTTATGAGTCAATAAGCTCTTGGAAAACAACCAAGAACCAAACAAATTGTATGATAAGGTGATTAGAATGCATGGCACACTTAGAAGGCAGCTTATGATTGGGAAAATGTGGAGGTTTTAAGGATCAAAACTTTATTTGCATCAGCTCCTGTAACTAGGTCAAATCAGGTTGATAATCTGTTGTGGGCAGCCTCAAGCACAAGTGTTCATCCAACCAGGTTGCATCAGGTTGCATCAGCTCCTGTAACTAGGCCAAAACAAGTTTAAAATGTGGAGCATTGTTCATCAAATTAGTGTTGGTTTTATTTGTATAGATTTATTATTAAGAAACTTAATATCACATATTCATTCTTCACAGTTAGAGTTTTGAAATCAAAGCTCCTTTGTACTAGTTATATTGTACTAAATCAAAATTCATTCTACTTTCTCTTGGTTTCTTCAATTACTCTTAAATCTGAAATGACATTCAATTGGACTTGGTTACCTTATGGAAATCAGATTACGGTCCTTTCTGTAATGTATCAAAACACCAAGTTGGATGCTGCAATGTCTACTCACATTATGCCTCAAAACCTATTCGAAGCATGTCACGAAAAAATATTTGCATACCAACTTTAGAAAACAATTCTATGCCAATATGATCCATATTTTTTGTAGAAGTTGCAGTAGCTTGTTAAGAAAATTTAGTTTACCGAATAGTAGGATGACCATTTGAACCTTGCAAGAGGGTTGTGAGCCGTGACACCACGTCGTTCAGATGATTGAGTTGTACTTGTTGTGCCTCCCGTGCTTTGCGGAACAAATCTCTACATGTGAATACAGCAAGAATCAATGGAGGAAGAGAACCTTCACAATAACCCTAACGCTGCTGAATCTGCAGAAGAGGAAGACCACCTGGTTCGGAGTACAAAGAAAATCTAGAGCTCTGCTCTCTCCATAAGTTCTGAGATGGAAATCGAAACATAAATGGTAACTAAAAAGTGCGATGAAGGTCTTAGTGCAAAGAGCTCTCCACCTCAGGAAAAGTTGTCCACAAAGTCCTTCAAGGAAGCACTGATTACAGTAAACAATGACAATTACTCGTTTGATAGTAGAGTGGACATACTTTTATTTGATGAAGAAGATGATGACCACGAGGGATCTACCTCAATCGTCCATTCTACCTCGGAGCCCTTGGGGTTGCCTATAGTATCTCTTCCAAAAAAACTACTTGAGAAGATTAGGACACCATGGGGGAGTGCACTAATCATTAAACTCATAGGGAAAAGTATTGGTTACAGAATGTTGTGCACAAGGGTTAAAAATATTTGGGGGCTACAAGGAGAGTTCAACGCCATCGATTTGGGATATAACTTCTTATTGTTCAAGTTCTCTAACCAGGAGGACTACACCAAGGTATACACGGGGGGGCCCTTGGGTCATCATGGACCATTATTTTACTATTAGGAGATGGGAACCCAATTCAAGCCTTCGGAAGCTTTTGAAACCACAACCGCAGTATGGGTTCGGTTTCTGGAGCTTCCGATTGAATACTACCAAGATAAAGTCTTGTTTGCGATTGCTAAAACCATTGGCAAACCACTAAAAATTGATTGGACAACGGCCATGGCAACCAGAGCTAAATTCGCACGAATTTGTGTAGAGATGGATCTTACGAAACCACTGAAACCCAAATTCATGCTGGAGAACAAATGTTACAACATCGAGTATAAGTCACTCCATTCATTCTATTTTCTTTATGGCCATATTGACCACAGGAAAGAAGCTTGTAGATTTAAAATGCCTAGTTCACTACCGACTGGAGAAAAATTAGCCATTACCAACGTTGAGAACCCCATCACACCCATCTCTGTACCTAACGGTAACCTGCTATCAATAGAAAACACAGAAGAGACATTTGGGCCATGGATGCTTGTGACCAAACGTGGACTTAGGCCAATCCAGACTAGGAAAGTCCAGGACATAGCTGGCCTAACTACGAAGCCCAACATATTTAAATACTTGAAGAAAGGACATGCAGGTCAAGGAGATAACCCACGGGGAAGGAAAATAAATAGAGCAGGTATTGAGAAGGCCCATAGCGACCCTCTCACCCAATTGGGCCCAAGCCAACCTAAAGATGCCAAAGGAAAAGGGAAAGCTGATCAAAGCCAAATTAAAGCCCATCAACAATGTAACCAAATCCAGACTCCACCTCTAATTCCAACCACTGGTGCAAGCTCATCTACCACAGCTGAAGATTCCTCTGCAAAAGCCCCAGTTTGTGACAGTGGAGACGTATACGCCAGTGAAGAGCACTAGCTGCAAAAAGTTTTTGACGTGAATTGTGTATTGGAACTCAATATAAGCAAAGAAGACTCTACCATGGTTGAAGCTACGGTGACCCACACCTCCACCAATACTTCAAACCTAACCTATCCCATTAGCCCCTATTCTACAGCCCAGTTGAATAGAGAGAGTGAACCTCCAGATCCAGACCCTAGAAAGTGTAACAATGAAGAGGACAGGAGAGCCAATACCAGATGCTCAGGGGAACATAGTAGAGGAACACCTGAATTAAAACAGACCAGTGAGACTATTGTTAGAACCCAAGAGAGAAACGCTTCACCTAGTCACTTTCTTCTGGTGGATAGAGCAAATACGGTCGACAATCAAGCCAAGTTGGGGGGACTACCCACCTCAGCCATCTCACTTGATCCAAATGGCCTCCCTTAGATCAGTGGGGGAGGACCATCGAAGGATCCGTAGTATAGTTACGGAACTTGCAGTTAGAGACCCTCTATCATTTCCCTCTATGGATCTGCTTCGACTTTTGTTTTAGAATTGTCGTGGAGCTGGCAATAACAACTTCAAGAGAACACTAGTGGAGATTATCATGTCACACAAACCTGAAATTTTGGTACTCATGGAAATGAAAGTAGCCTATAGTAGGATGAGCAACTTCTTCAGTAGACTTGGTTTTACTGCCTCATCTATTGTTGACCCTGCGGGGAGAGTGGATGGCATATGGATAATCTGGGACACTAACCATGTCAATGTCAGAGCTTCTACTATCAACTCTCAAGTCATCCATGCTACGGTCCATAAGGAGGACTATGAGGAATGGGAATTGGCTGCTGTCTATGGCAGCCCAAAATCCTATTCTCAGAGACCATTTGTGGAAGGACTTAGAAGATAGGACAGTGACTATGGACCAACTTGGACCAATAACAAACAAGGTCTAGCTAACACCATGGAAAGATTGGATAGAGCAATGTGCAATGCAGAATGGAGAACTATGTTCCCTGAAGCTACTGTTAAAGTGCTCCATAGAACATACTCGGATCACTCCCCTCTCGTGGTTTACACCCAAGGTATGCATCCTCTAAAGCCCCTTAGTAGGCCCTTTAGATTTGAAACTACCTGGATGTCCCATCCAGGCCTTATTGATGTTATTAAATCTGCTTGGATTTCTATGAATGATAACCTCCTTAATGCTACTTCTGAGTTCACATGTAGAGCTACGGACTGGAATAAAGAGACTTTGGCTGATATCTTTAAAAGGAAAAGGCAACTCCTGACCAGGATTGAGGGCACTCAAAAAGCCCTTGCTGATAAATTCACCCATAGTCTTTAAACTCTTGAAAAAGATCTTATCAAACAATATAATGAGACTTTGTTTCAAGAAGAAATGCTTTGGTTTCAGAAATCTAGATCTAAGTACCTTACTCTTGGTGATAAAAATACTAGATACTTCCATATATCCACCATAACTAAGAGGAGAAAACTTAAGATCAATACCCTCAAGGATGAGGAGGGTAACTGGATATCTGATTCTACTGGAGTGAAAAATGTCATCATTGACTATTTCCATTGCCTCTTCAGCAAGGAGACCACTTCCAAGTTAGATAACTGGAATAACATACCTGTTGTTAAAAATTCACCAAGTTGTTAAAAATATTGGGGCCACTAAAGCCCCAGGAAGAGATGGCATTCAAGCAATTTTCTATCATAAATACTAGGACATTGTTGGAAATTCTGTGTGTGATTTTGTTAAACACTGCTTTCATAACAAACATGTGCCCGAAGCTGTCAATGAGACCCTCATTGTTCTTATTCCTAAGATTGATAATCCTGAAAGCATTAAACAGTTTAGGCCCATCAGTCTCTGTAATGTTACTTACAAGATTATATCCAAGTTGATTGTGAATAGAATTAGACCTCTGCTTGCTAATTTAGTGAGCCCTAACTAGTGTAGCTTTATTCTGGGGAGAAACACCACAGATAACATCATCATAACCCAAGAGATTCTCCATACTTTGAGGAACAAAAAGGGCAAAAGTGGTGGCAAGATATTCAAAATTGACCTGGAAAAGGCTTATGATAGACTTTCTTGGGATTTCATAAGTGACACTCTGCTTGATCTGAACATGAATGATGGTTGGGTAGACCTTATAATGAGTTGTGTTACTAACGGTAACTCCACTATCCTTTGGAATGGGGAAATGCTTAATGGAATCAAAAATGAGAGAGGCCTAAGACAGGGAGATCCCCTATCTCCCTATCTCTTTGTGTTGTGTATAGAGAGACTTTCTAACATAATCAATAAAAAGGTTGAGAAGGGCATATGAAAGGGGATCAAAGCAGGTCATAATAGTCCATCCATATCACACTTGTTCTTTGCTGATGATCTCATTTTATTTGCCAAGGCTAATCAACATCATTGTCAAGTTATCATGGAAGTGTTGTCTGAATTCTGCGATGTGTCTGGGTAGAAAGTTAACTACTTGAAATCAAAACTTTTTGTCTCACCTAATTTGCCTCATAACAGAGCTTTATCCCTTAGTTTCAAAAGTGGAATTCCCTCAACTTAAGACCTTGGTAAATATCTGGGCTCCCTTATGATTCATGGCAGAGTTAATAAGAATATGTTTAGGGAAATAATTGAGAAACTAAAGAATAGACTATCAAGTTGGAAGGCCAAAACCCTCACCCTTGCTGGCAGAATCACTCTTATTTAGTCTATAACCTCTGCCATACCTAGTTACAACATGCAGACAATGGAATTTCCTAGAAGTTTATGTGATGATATTGATCGAATTAATAGAAACTTCCTCTGGGGAAAGATTGACAACACTAAGAAGGTTCATCTGGTTAATTGGGATAATGTTTGTAGAAGTAAAGCTGTGGGCTGGCTGGGAATTAGAAGACTAGGGACCAGAATACAGCCCTCTTAACCAAACTTGAGTGGAAAATGTTGAGTGAGAAAGACAAGCTTTGGTGTAAAGTGCTCCAATCTAGGTATTTGGGTAACAATAGCATTTTTAATTGGCCTCTTAAAAGAAGATCCTCTCATGTTTGGAAGAGTATCTGTCACAATAGAGATACCTTGAGGAAATGTGTGAAGTGGATTGTTGGAAATGGTGAGAATATCTTTCTGTGGAATGATTGGTGGTGTGGAGAACAACCTCTATACCTTATTCATGGCCTCAATAAGATCAATGATCAGCTGAAAGTTAGTGATGTCCTTGATGAAGAGAATAACTGGGATACTACTAAATTGATTGCCCTTGTCAATTCTCAGGCCATGCAAGAGATTCTTAAAATTCACAAGCCTAGATTTGTGACCTTCACTGATACTCCTTCTTGGGTTGGATCAACCTATGGTATCTACACTACTGCTTCTACTTATAAGATTATCTCCAACCAGACTACTGCTAGAGGAGATTAGAATTGGCTCTGGAAAATTAAAGTCCCTAAAAAACTGAAGAGTTTTATCTGGCTGGTCCTCAAGTGTAACAACCCACATTTATGTCTTAGTCATGTTCATGAGCATTTGTATGATTATGACTCGTTAAGCTTGCATTTGCATGTTTATGACTTGTTTTGCCTAAGTAAGGTCCATGCCTTGTTTTGTGTTTATGTGATTTGCCTAAGTGTTGTGTACATGCTTTGTTCCTTCCCTGCTATGCCAAGCCTAGGTCATGTTAAGCCTAGATCATTCCAAGCCGAGGTCATATTCAATCCAGAATTGTCTTGGAACCACTTTGTTTGACCTCTACATTCGCCCAGACATATTGGCCGAGATGTCATTATCTAGGCTAAGGTGTTCATCACCAAGGCCGAGATGTGTACTATCTAGGCCGAGATGCTACCTTTGCACCTATGTGATCTTATCCTGGAGTGGTATAACCTAGACTGAGGTGTGGCACATCTAGGCCAAGGTGTGGCACAGCTTAGTCAAGTGTTGTTCCCAGTAAATTGCTCTGTAAATGCCTAGTAAATTCTCAATAAATTACTTATTAAATTCCTAGTAAATTACTCAGTAAATTCTCAATAAATTACTTAGTAAATTCTCAGTAAAAAAGAGAGAGATACAGCCCACAACATCACAACACATTTCTCTTCTTCCTTTCCCTCCTCTCATCCTCACCCACTCCTCCAACTGGTAGCATCACTGCCATCACCTCATATTCTCTCTGTCTCTCTCTCTATAATCCTTACCACTTCTATCTCCTTATTACCCATTTCAGACCCACATTAAATTTATAACAAAAATTGCAGGCACACAATCATTCCATTCAACGAAATTAGAATAACGTAGGCTCCGTTTGTTTCAACTTAAAATATTTTACACAAAAAAAAAAATTTCATTTTTTTTATTTTTGTATTTCAGCGTTTGATTTACACTTAAAACAAAAATATTTTATTATCTAAAAGAAAAATTTTTGATTCAATAAAATATCATTTATTATTTTTTAGGTGAGCTATAATCCTTACCACTTCCATCTCTTTATTATCCATAGACTTTGTTTTTTTTTTTTTTTTTGTAGGCAACTTCCCTCTCTCTCTCTCTCTCTCTATATATATATATATATATATATATTATCACTACATATATATATATCCATAGTAAACTTTTTTTTTTTCCGTGAGCATAGCTTCTCTCTCTATATTATATATATATATATTAATATATATATATATATATCACTACATATACACATAAAGATCCAAGACTCTGTTTTTTTTTTTTCTCGTGAGCATAGCTTCTCTCTTTATATATATTATATATATATATATATATAAATATAGCACTACATATACATATAAAGATCAAATTTTAGTCTTTTGATGAAATTGAACATCCCTCTCTCTCTCTCTCTTCTTTCTCTCTATCAGGCTTGTCCATCTCTCTCCTTCAACAATTGTGTGTGTTTGGGTTAGACTTTATTTGATCTGGGTTTGTTCGAATCCACCAAGAGCCAACGGGAGGCAGGAGTTCATTCGATCCATCAAGGTTTGTTCGAATCTCCATCATCTTGGTTCATCTCCATTATCTCAAAAGTTTAAAACAAAATCACAATGTAGAGAAAGATGAAGACAACGAAATTGAGTGAAGAAGATGAAGAAATTTCTGTGAAATTACATATGAGTTCATCTTCATCATTTGGGTTCATCTCTTTTATCTTATCTGAGTTCATCTTCATCATCTCAGTTCATCTCTTTCATCCATGTATTTATTTTTGTGAAATTACATTTTTGAAATTGCTTGAAATTAGTCGAGATTCCTTTTGCTTTGTTTGAGATTGCTTGAAGTTTGTAAGAAATTGCTTGAAATTTCTCTGAAATTGTTTTGATTATTGTTGTTGTGATTTTTTATTTGCAATTATTGTCTTTGTTGTGATTATTGTCTTTGTAGAAACTTCTTAAAATTACTGTGTTTGAACGAAGGGCACTTTTGTCTTTTTGCATGCAAGATTAAGGGTAATATGGTCATTTTTGTATAGGCTACTAACGCCGTTTGTGCAAAATTGACAGAAGGGAAATCTTGATATTATCAGGTAAAGTAGGGGATGTTACTGTAATTAATTTGAAACCACATGGGAGGTCTTTGTATTTGTTAGAAATCTCAAGGGAGGTAAGTATAATTTACCCTAATTTGTATAATGAGTAAAGTCAGTAATAATGTTATAATATATATTGATGTACTAAATTATGGACCCCACACCTATGTGAGACGTTTGACCATTAATTTATGCTGTGTTTAGTTGGGATATTTGAAGAGAGATTTGGAAAGATAAAGGGAAAAGATAGGTGAAATTAGGTAAAATATAGGTATGTTTTATTCACATTTCACCTATATTTTTTATTTTTCTTTCAAAATTCCTCATCAAATTTCCTAATTAAACACAACATAAGTAAAAAAATTAGAGACTATAGCATTTTCTAATTCATGCATGTAACCCATCAAATATAAATAAAAAGAAAATTTAAGTGCATTTTCCTGAAGCTACTATTAAGGTGCTCCTTCGAACATACTCGGATCACTCCATCTCATGGTCTATACCCAAGGTATGCATCCTCTAAACCTCCTTAGTAGACCTTTTAGATTTGAAGCTGCTTGGATGTCCTATCCAGGCCTTATTGATGTTATTAAATCTGCTTGGAGTTCTATGAATGATAACATCTTTGATGCTACTTCTGAGTTCACATGTAGAGTTACAGACTGGAAATAAGGAGACTTTGAGAATATCTTTAAAGGAAAAGACAACTCCTGGCCAGGATTGAGGGCACTCAAAAAGCCCTTGCTGATAAATTCACCCATAGTCTTTCAAACTCTTAAAAAAATATCTT